ACTCATTCCTACGGTCACTAAACTCATATCAAAAGTGTTACCGTCTCTAGGCCTAGCAGCTCTGTTACCGTCTCTAGGCCTAGCATCAGGTGCTATCACCGGCAGCACGCAAAAAGCAGTAGCTGGTAGTGGTATAGTTAGAAGAAGAAGAGGTATCACACCATTCAATGGACCTGAGTATAATAACAGTCGTCTTGGTTTCGGTAGTAGCTCTGGTAAGAAAGGTCGTTCTGGATACATAGTTCACGGAGTTAAACTTTCAAAAGATCAGAAAACTACCTTGGCAAAAGCAGTTAGGGACAAAAGTGGAGTAACTTTGCGAATTACCAACAGCGCTCTTGAAGGTCCTGATATGCTTATGCTTACTAATACACAGATCAAGCGAATAATTGGTGCAAGACCCAAAGGATCTGGAATCGATCTAAAATTGTCTAAGAGTCAGATTACAGCCATGACGCGCGCGCAAAAAGGTAATTTCCTTGGTTCTTTGCTTGCAGGTCCAGATACTCCCATCGTAGCGCCTGTCCTATGAAAAATCCTTGGATTTGGAACGTCGGGGGAAGGAGTATACCTCCCCGGGACGCGGCGACGCGGGTGAGGAAGTGGAAGCCGCTATCAAACAAAGATATCAATCGTATAGTAAATGGTAATCTAAAAGCAGTAGCTAAAGGTTTTAGAGGGGTGTTCTTAAAAGACATGCTTCCTAAAGAGCCTCTTAAAGCTGAAGAAAGTGATATAATCAACTTACAAGACTTTCTCGATGGAGGTGGGACTCACTGGGTTGGCACCTTTGCTGATGAGTTCTGTGTAGATTATTTTGACAGCTTCGGCCTTCAACCACCTGACGTAGTTAAAAAGTGGATGGAACGGTCAAAACTTGTTGTTCATTATTCTAGCAACAAGATACAGGATCGGCGCTCCATTATGTGTGGGTGGTACTGCCTTCTCTTCTTACACGATCGGGTTCACAATCGGGTTCACAATCGGTCTGCGACAGATATTCTGTTAGATTTCGATTCGCGCCCTTCTGCGCGTAACGAGCGTATTGTAAAACGGTTTGCTAGAGAAACTCTAAGAGCGCGCTAATAACTAACATCGCGATGCATTTTTCATATCACATCAGACTAACAGACTAAATTTTTGTGCATTATATAGAGATGGCCATCGCTTACTGTTTGTACTGTAAAAAACGACAACCTGTTGTCAAAGGAAAACTTGAACATACAAAAAGCCAACCTAGGCTCACGGGGCGCTGCCAACTCTGTGACAGAGGCGTCTCCAAGTTTCTTTCTAAAAGTAAACTTCTGGATAAAAAAGGAGGGAGAATAAGAGGTTTGAATTGTGCGCTTCCATTCGGTATAGATCCAATTGATTTGGCAATCAAAGCCGCGAATAAAATCAGAAACGCTTGGTGAACACAACACATAGTCAAATGAAAATGATGGTCGCGTTTTGTATGCGTTGCAAAAGACTGCAACCAGTTATAAGTGGTATAGTTGTAAATCATAACGGAATTGCAGGGCGCTGTGGTGTATGTGATAGTGCTGTTTCTAGGTTTCTTTTCCAAAGCGAATCTCGTCGTAATGGAGGAAAAATAATCGTTTCTACGGACGGAAGCGTTGAGGAACGCCTCGCAGAAGCGTACTACAGTCCTGTGAGGTTCCCACCAGGCCGATCGCTTGTATCTGCCTCACGATCGAGTCGGAAGACGCACATTCGAATACGCATTAACGGTCGTCGACGTAACAAGTCGGTATAAGGAGGTCCAGGTGATCACAGACAAGACAGCGACCCAGGTTGAGAAGGCGTTAGAGTCTATTTATGCACGTGGGCCTCTTCGATGGCCTACAGTTTTACAAGTCGACCTGGCTCGGAGTTCCGCAGGGCTGTGCAAAAAGCGTGTGATAAAAATGGTGTCACGATTCGACGGGGTAGGGTCGGGATTCATGGGATGAGGGGATCGTAGAAAGATTTAACCGAACTTTGGCGGAGCGATTGTTCGGTTACCAGTATCATCGCGAGCTGGCTGAGCCCGGAACTCGGAACAAAGAATGGGTATCACGATTACCTGAGGTAGTTAAAGCGCTCAATAATGAAACTACTCGTTTGACGGGCAAAAAGCCCTCCCTTGCGATTCGGAAGAAGAGCGTTAAGGCCAAACCCGCTGCGCCAGCGCTTCGTCCAGTTGGTTTCAATGAGCAGCGCTTGCCCTCGGATGTTATGGTGTGGTATTTGTATGCGCTTGGCGAACTCAAGGGTGGCGAACAGCGTAGGGCGACCGATCCTATCTGGAGTGTGACCTCCCACCAGGTCGAGTGTGGTTGTGGTTGAGGGCGTTTCTTCTTGGAGCGCTTCCAGGAAATGCTTGGCCGCGTCGGGCCCTCGGTAGAGCTGCGGTGGCTGCGTTTCCCCGTCGGAACGGACGACTATGTACGAGTAGCCGCATGCCTCGTGTCTGGAAGTTTGCTGGGTGCCCCTCTTTTCAGGGTTAAGCGCGGAGCCCTTGGTCTTACGAACCAGGCTCTCGAAGTCTGCGTAGATTATGAAGGGCGTTTGAACTGCTTGTGGTAGTTCTCAACGCGGATTTTGTCATTTGTTCCGGGGGTTGGCATTCTGATGGCAACCGCGGCCTGGTTAATGCCTCGACATTCAGGCTTATGCTCTTCCAGCAAATCCTGCCTGGTGAAGCCATGAAGGCAACGCTCACAGAAGTGCAGCTGATGATGGCCACTCTGCTTGAGAAGGTGGTTAAAGCCCTTGATCCAGGCGTAGTGGTATTTCTCAGGATCATTCGGATCCGAGACGAGGAAGAGATTCTCAGTATTGCGGGCTCCCTCTACTTTGCTCAGACGGCAAGGAACGACGCCGCCTTCCCACCCGTATATGTTGATAGCAAGGTCGTTCTGACGCTCTACATGTTCGAGCTGGGAGAGCGGTGTGGGTGCGCTCACTCCCGCAAAGTCAAGGCCTTCTTCAGTTGATACTTGCCCAGCCGTTGCGGGTGTTTAGCTGCGGGAAACAGCGTAGCCTTTAGAGACCAGCGGAGGCAGTCGTCGTCTTTGTTTTTCACGTTGACGATTGCCTTCTTATTCTTGACCGCGGTAGGGAGAGGAGGTATGAGCCTCCGCGTAAAGGCTAGTAGTGAGCAATGTCAAGCCAGAGTGTTTTGACACGACCCACTATCCACCCAGACCCTTCTCGAGTGAACTTTTCCAATCACTCCAAGATTGTTGGGAAGGCTTCATGTAGGGCTTGCGGAATCTCATGCGCTTGTAGCAGCGTGATCTGCTTTGTCCGGAACACTGGTGCTTTAAGCACTTCAGTGCCATTTGCTTCATCCTTCCGAAGCTCAACCTCTACAGCCAACTGGAACTTAACTCCTCGTAGAGCTAGTAGCTCCTCGACGAGTTTGCGTTTGATGTGGAGCTGGGCGCTTTCGAGGAAAGCCATCAAATCGCCTTCGGAGGGGTGTCTTTTCGGCACCTGCATTTTCCAGGCTCTCAGATCATAGCTGAAGGCCTTCGTTTCATCCCACTTAAGTTCCGTGGGTGGTGGGGGAGGAGCCCTTGTGGGGCGTCGTGGTTTGGGGACATGCCTGCGCTTACGCGGTTTTGGGATAGGCCTGAACTTTTGCGGTTTTGGGATAGGCCTGCGCTTTCGCGGTTTTGGGATAGGCGGAGTGACATTTCTTGGCGTGGGTGTCGGGTCAGCGGGCGGTTTAAGATCCTTAAGAGAGGCGTTAAGCGCGTGTCCGTCGATTACACCTTGGTCATATAGTTGCAGAAGTCTCTCGACAGTATTCATCTCGACTGTTGCAAATCTCGTTGGTATATATTAGGGGAGATAATTCTCTAAATCGAAATTAATTCAAAATGTTGAAATTAATTCGGCGAGTACTCTAGCAAATCTTTTTCTTGCTTGTTTCTGATTATAAACAAGCATATGCTGCACCCTATTTGCACCGTAGGCTTTACAAAAGATAGTTTTTGCCTGTGTTCCGACCCCACACTTACGACATGGTTGTGGAAGTCGCCCGCCTTCCCTTAATCGCTTCATATGAAGTTCACAGTATTCACCTATAGAGCTTCGCCCACATGTGGTGAGCTTTCCAGTTAAAAACCACGCACACTTGTTGTTGCCCTGCTTCATGTCTGTCGAATTTTTTCGATTTACACTATGTGAGAATTTATGTCTAAATAATAGACTCCGACGGCCGGCCGCGCGGGCGTGGGGGCTGGGCCGGCCGTCTTTGGCTCCTGCCTTTGTCCTAGGTTTGACATTCACTGTAATTATGCTAGCATACGTAGGCGAACTAGGGCTGGGGCACTTAGATTTGCGTATAATAAGTATCAAACTGTGAGGTGGGCCAGAAACGACGCTTTCTCAAGTTGAGGTGGGCCAGAGACGACGCTCTGTATACTACTCGCTGTTGTACAGTTTGCTGTGAGTAATGATGTTCCATGAGATATCGTGAGCGATGTTGTTGTCTTTTAGTGTCCATATGTGTTTGAAATTAAATGAAGATATGGACTTCGCACTTTGCTGGACAATTTAAGCAATTGTCTCATGAACCTGAAAAATTCAGGTGACTCAACGAGATTCGAACCCATGAAGTTAGTGTATTAATCAAGGTGTATAGTTACAAGTTAGATGTATAGTTACAAGTTAGATGTATAGTTACCAGTTAGATGTTAGAAGTTGATGTTTTTCTCGGCGTTTGTGATGTTGTCGTAGGACGTTCGTGATGTTTACATAACAAAATCCGAAAGTGGTAAAATTAGCAGGAAAGTACTGGACAGAATTAACAAGATGTTAGAAGTTTATATATATTTATACAAAGTGTATATACAATGTGCCCTCCCGGTTATCACCATATTAATATGGTGACTCCTGCACTTGGGACACAGGACATATATATATATGGAGTTCACTGACCCTTTCTTCCAAATTAGCAAGAATATGTGGTCATACTTCATGTTATTTTTATAATAAACAATATATGTCAACATACAAGATGGCGAAGGCAATGCTGATGCTAAAGCAAAAATGTTCCTTTGTTTCAGGTAAACTTACAATGTTACTGTATGGAATGCTGCTTTTTTTTCTGTAAAAATCCAAAGAAATTTAAAATATCCTTACTTAATTATTTAAGCTAAATACATCATAATGGATTGTTAGTTATGCTCTTTATTAGAATGAGCTGGTGTACCGTGTAACAACTGTAATTTATTTTGACTTATCGATTTATACTGAGATCGAACTTCCACTGAACAACTGTATCGTAGTTTTTAGCAAGTGTGGTATAGTTGTTAAAGCAGATATAGTTGTTACAGATTGAAAAATTCCACCTGTGAAATAAATTTTTTATCATAAGTAAATAAAGGAAACTAAAACCTCAGTTCAGCACAAGCTTCGAACATTGTGGTAGTTTAAAAGCAGTGGCAAAGCCTGCTGAATCTTTTATTCCTACAATCCAAGTTTTTCAGCAGAATTAATGCTCATTTCTTTGGAAAATGAAATCCGTTCATTTCTTTTCTCGTGGTTATATGCAAAAATATTATGCAATGTGAGAGTAAAAAACAGTCTGACTTTGCTGCTGCCTGGTATAAAGATACAGGAAGCACATGACAGCATTAAAAAATGCTGTCAAGCAAGTTTTGGTCTTGCTTTCCAAATTTCAGAGCATTATCATTGTTTATTTTTTAATAAATCATTTTGCAGTGAGTGAGTCTTTGTTATCATTGATACTCAATATTGAAATTTGGATGTTTTTAGTTTGCAAATATTTATTCATATTTCATTTTTGGCTGTCACTTTGGAACTTTAAATTTAGTACTAGCATTTTATAATTCAATACTACTGTTATATGATGCCATAAACTGCTTAGTTTTCATTTATATCTTTGATATGAACCAATGTTGGTACTGACTGTATAATACTTTTTGCATTTATTATATTTTCCAATTTTGTATTTTTCAAACCATGGACGTACATTGATGTTAATATATTAACATTCATGTCTGCATGAATTACCCTTCATGTTGCATAAATTGCCATGTATTCTATGCAGACATGAGACATCAGAACAATTTTCTCTGCAATTTCCTTATCGCATAACAAAATAGTTGAAATCTAAATATAGTATCAGTACTGTTTGCTAAATTACCACTGTGGGAAGTATCAATATTTTCATGAAATCTTGCCAACCACTAACTTCAATGGGATGGCATTAATCTCATATATTTTATAATTACCAAACACACTTGGACCCAAGATTGTATTTTTCACCTTTTTTTGTTTGGTGGTGTAGGAAATGCCTATATAGCTCACAGAACACATCAAATATGTTTTCTTTTTACTTGTAGAGTGAGAAATTTTGAACTATAAACTGTATGATACCTTTTGAGATTTATTGATGCTGATGCATGCATGCTGGAGAAGTCTGTTTTTGAAGGCTTGTTGATAATCATCCCATTGTGCATAGATTCTTCTTTTATCCATACATTCAGTGGACATGATGTTTGGTCAAATAATGCTGTTGATATGAATTCTAGGACTTTTCGAACAATAATTTTATCACTTTTTAGTAAGCTCTTCAATCACCAGTCACTTAACAAATACCAGAAAACTTTTTGTAAGTGTTTCATAATTAACTGAAATGTCTACAACAATGGTCAATCATTTGAGAAGCCTAAAATAGTGACATTCTAAGCTTAGCCTAAGTTGTTTCGCCATCAACATTTTAATTTTGCATGTTTACCGACCTTGAAAAGTAGCCTTGAACTTGTGGCTTATTGCTCAAATTTATTTCTGTTAGTCTCATTTAGACTAAGTATTTGCCCCCTGAATATTGAACAAAGTACTTGTATTTTGAGTTTGTATTCATCTGCTGAGAAAATGGCATGGCTTATTATACAGAGTGTTATATAGAAATCTGCTAATCTTTAAAATCAGCTGACAGTTATTGCAGAAACTTACAAATTCTAAACATAAGCTGATTTCAAAAATAAGCACTTTTTTTGAGACACCTTGTATTTACTTTTAATTTATTATTTGGTAGTTTTAACTGTGGTATAGTCTAAGCCATTGTTTTACTTTGACATCCGAGTAATTGCTTTTCATTATCAAAATATTTCCCTGATGTTAATGACAATTGATCTCAAATATTGTTTTTTTTTGTCTTTTGATTATCCCAGAGTTTTTTCAATTTTTTTGCTTAAGCCCTAAGTTAATGATCTGATACAATACTTCATTTGCAGGTAGTCTTTTTCACAAGTATGTTGGTCCAAGCTCCTATTTTATCCAAACCAAAGTAAGATGCCGGACAAGGTCAACTATCTGAAATTCACAATAGAACTTAAGTACTGAGTGCTTGCCCCTCCCCCCCCTCTCCCAACAATTTTGTATAATTAAAAATCTTTCAGCAAATCCTATGAAACAGAAAAAATCGGATGATTTTCGTTTCTGTAGCTTTGCCAAAATTCCCCTTATAAACATGTTGTTTATTAACTTGTTCGCTTTGTTTACAAAAACGCATCGCGAGGCTGAACTCGCGATTTGACTCTCTTACACGCGTGTCTGGGAGTCAGATCAAATCACGCAAAATTTGGCTTCATTTCGTGTGTTATCGAAACATCAGAAGGTAGCCTTTCAGTTATTCTTAGTTCAATATGTCAGTTAGCACATAGTATTTTATAGCACGGCTTTGTGCGTTTTTTTGATAAGTCTCATCCGCTGACCACTTATTTTACCCATTACGTTTTTGCATTCAATATTATACAGACCTATTCAAATTTTGAACCGAAACTTGGAAAAGGCGGTCGCTCGTCCTTTAGCGGTGTTGTCGCCACGGTTTTTGGTGCAACTGGATTTATTGGAAGATATGTTGTCAACAGATTAGGTGAGTGAAAATACGATAGAAGGATTGCTAAGGCTTCCTACTCAACTTTCATGTTGTCATGAATTTCAAAACAGGTCACTTCGTAAAGTCATTACAAGTTGAACCTGTTGCAAGTTTTTGTAATGCTACCGCAAACGCGCATCGGTAACTCTAGTTTTGGAAGTCAACCCATTTTTGACTCAACATTAAATACATGTTATTTATCTCGCCTACACGATGAATAACGTATTTTTTGCTTTACAGTCTTGGTAAATTTTGCAGTCAGATTAAGCTATGGCGGCAAAGAAAAAACAATCAAACTTTATTTCACTTTGTTGAACTTAAGATTCTCTTGAGATAGATTATTACAGCTTAACTATGCTTAGAGCTAAGAATGCTATCAAAATTATTGTGTCACGCATTTGACGGGCGAGATATTTAAATGTTTTATTGATGAGAATTTGATTTGTTTTAGGTCGTGTGGGAAGTCAGGTTGTTATACCTTATCGTGGAAATGAATATGATTACAATCCACTCAAAGTTATGGGAGATCTTGGACAAATGTTGTTTTTTGTACGTATCTTGTTACTTTTAAGAAATAAAAGTTGTTTACAGTGTTTGTACAGGCTTATGCAAACCGAGGAGACCTTTTGGAGAACTCGTGAGCTGATCAGTGCAAGTTCTCACAAACGTCTTCGAAGTTTCACAAGCCTCTACAAACACAAAAAATATCTTTTATTTCTTTTGTAAAATAACAATAATACGAAACAGGCAAATTTAAAACAAACGTTTTAATGCTCCCTTTAACATATATTCATGATTGATTTGCAAATTGTCTTTGATGAATTGATTGATTTGATTGGTTGAGCTTTAATCAGTTTGAAGTGGCTATTACAAACAGCTGCAGACTGTATATTAATAAAAATGTTAATCTTTTTATTTTATAAATAATAATACTATACATTAGGCAAATATCAATCTTCAGTCCAATATTGTTTCAGCATCAAAAATGATCTGGTGTTGAAATATAAAGTACCGTCACTAGCAAAATGTTTTATTGGCGTTATACTTGTTGGCCCATTAAACGTATCCGTGAAAACGTTTTTGTTTTTGTCAAATCTTTCATGTTTATGGTAGTTTGAAGTGGGCAAAAATGCCCTTATGATGGGCTCTGTCGCTCGTGAAAAAAGTGTGACGCGATTTACTTTTGTGACGTCATTGAACTTGTCAATACAATATATATATGTTACTAATCTTGAATGACGTCGGAATGTTGCGACGGGCAAGGACAATTGAGAGCCAGCTTTAAAAATAGTTAACAGAGGACGCTTTCATTAAATTGAATAATTTATCACGGATACTTTAGAAATTGCCGGTTGTTTCATTAACGCAAACAAACATTTTCGCTGGGAAGAGTGTTTTGATCGTCTCTTGTGTAATGTCTCAGAGTAATGATGTTAAAGCCGATCCTTTTATTCTCCAGTTTGGTGTCTTATAGAAGTGATCTGGTAGTTAAAACTATATCATTGTTTATCATCATCCAAAAAATTATTCACTGATCCATTTCTCTATTTCTTAGGAATACCACCTTCGCGATGTAGATAGCGTTGCCGACATGATGAAACATTCAAACGTAGTCATCAATCTCATAGGAAAAACGTTTTGCACAAGGTAACACGTGCTCTCTATTTTGCTAGAGAGTGGGTTGCACTAAGTGGGATTCTAAATTAGTGACTTCATGTTACAGGGGGTTGCACTACTTTGGATTTTAATTTGGTGACATCTTATTGTCGCAAAATGTCAGACAACTTTGTGAGTGGGAGATTTTTGAAAACACGCTTCAAAACAATAATCACATTTGAATTTTTTGTTTTATTAGTATTTTGTAGGAAAATTTGTATAAAAGGAAGGAAATCTGCGGGGGGATGCGTACCCCAGAAAAAAATCTCTAGCCCCCCAAAAAAATTCTATAATAGTGTTACGTACTGCAGATGATTATATGCCAGTCTTACATACTGGGAAATTGTCCATTATGACTGAGAAAAGGTAGAACTTCTCACCTCAGCATAGTTTCTACCCCCCTAAATTTAGGGGGGATCTTGGAATTTTCAAAAATGCCTTCTAGGGGTGGGTCGAAAAAATTTTGAATTTCTAGGGGTGGGTTATAAACTAGGGGTGGGTATGTCTATGTAGGGGTGGGTTCCGAGATTTTCCCTATTAGAAAAATTAAAAAATAGATTAAATGCATCTATGATAAAAAAAGTTAATAACTTCAAAGTTCAACATCACTCAATTTTTGCCCCCATGTTATTGCCCCCATCTATCTTCATATTACCCTATAAGGGACCAAAAATATCTCCCTAATTTGACACCATGTTATTGCATCAGCCATTGATTGCATCAGCCATTGGCGAGTTTGGTGAACTTGCTTGATTGACAATATTAGTGAATACATAGACTTTATCAGTGTTGTATATAGTATGCATAGAGAGACCATAAATAAGTCTAAAATCAGCTTTCCTGTAGAAAAAAACGAATTTTTTTCGGCTCGTATGTAGGGGTGGGTAAGGAAATTTTGGACCCAAATGTAGGGGTGGGTTACCAATTTGGGGTGGGTATGTCTATGTAGGGGTGGGTTCCAACCCCTCTAGAAACTATGGCCTCATTTCAAACGCAAATTTATGTTTTATATTACCACCATTTATGTTTTATATTCCAACTAATTATTATCATTCGTCTTTTCATTAAAACATTTAAATTGAAATAAATATACATGAAAACAATTCTGCACCCCTTCTGTCAAATGAGCATTGATCTGCCCCTGATTTTGTAGCCTTTTGCATGCCTTCCATAAATGCATTCCATGCATTTACTTATCTCGTTTGAAGTCATTTGTTTGTCTTTCTACTATTGTTGCCTGAATTACTTATGTTGTTTTTCGTTTTTCTTAGAAATTTCACATTCGACGATTGTCATGTGGAGGGTGCCAGAACTATCGCGCGCGCTGCAAAACAGGTTGGAGTCCACCGTTTCATTCACGTGTCCGCATTAAATGCTAACGAAGAATCTACGTCCCAGTTCTTACAGTCGAAGGTAGGTACACATTGTAGAGTTTCAGTTAATATCACAGTAAACCGTAATGGCGGATAAGGGGGAAGGTTGGGTGATTCTTCTAAAGTTTTTCCTTAATATAATGGCCAGCGAAGTTTCTCCTTAATAAAGGAACAGGCTATTAAGCCTGTACTTCCCAAATTTTTGTTTCTTTAAGTTTTGAATGGTTTCCTTGATGTTTCCATGCGGCAAAGCTGCGAGGGAAAGGGTTGAAACTTAAGGAATGAGTCTCACAGTAATGCCTTGCGCGCTTGTGTTTACTACAGACGATATGTCGTTGATTGCTTCCTCCTTTTAAAATCACTTGATCACGTCCCTTTCTTTTTGACTACATCAACCATCAACACCCCAACATCACTTTCACCTCTGAGACGGAAAATAATGGACGAATGCCATTTTTAGACATTGACATTTACCGCTCAAACGAAAAATTCACCACCTCCGTATATCGTAAACCCGCATTCACCGGTAATATGTTCGATCACATTGTCCGTCGTTTCCTTGACACAAAATTCGAACAGAAACCACTCGTCCTTAGTGTCCCAAAGAAAATAGTGTATTTCTGTCTCCCAATCACCGGCTGTCACTCCTTACAAATCCGCACACAAATCAATCGTCTCTACAACGTTGCTTTCCCTCATCTTCATGTCAGATTCGTCTTTCGTATCCCCACACGAATCTCTTTATTTTTCCCCCGTTAAGGATAAAATTCCCAAGTCTGTGAGATCTGGTGTTGTTTATTTTATACACGTGTCGATGCTGTTCCGCGTCGTATGTGGGCAGAGCTGTAGAAATGGGGAGCGCTTGGGGGAGGAGCCCCCTTCTACCTTTGAAATGGGTAATTTTTCTTAATTCATGGCTTCAGCTTCGTCAAGAGGCCCCCCACCTGATAAATTTAGTTCTACAGCACTGTATTTGGGCACTTACACACCAGAATCTCGGAACACTTGGGATTTCTCCTTTGACTGGAAAACGCTATACTAACCCATAAATGTCAAGTATTATTTCAACCTAGTAATTCCTCCAACCACCCTGCTTCGCCAGACGACTTTAAAATCATCTCATACTGCTCCGACACAATCGACCTCATGATCTACGAAAGCCTCCTCATCTCCAAAGTAAAAGCTTCACTTAACACCCAAGGCAGCTCCATCCCTCTTAAGATTTTCTAGTCTCAACACATCACCCTAACTATACATCACATCACACTTACACATCTACAGTAATCTGATATCTCAAACTATGTAAATGACTCTATACACATCTTTAATTTTTGTTAACTTCCTTATTAGTCTGAAGATGTCTTGAGTCAAGACGAAACGTCGCTATTTTAATAAATTTCACAAAACCAAATTGTTTATGGCTATATTCAAAATTATTTGTTGGGCTCTAATATTTATATTTAAAACTACAATATAGTCAATATTGCAAAAAAATGTCGGGATTTAAGATGAGACCCAGACTTCATTGTATCACGCTAGGAAGAGGAAGAAGATTTAAACTATTATGGATCACCAGTCGAACAATATGATCATGAAAAACCGATTGTAGTACAAACTGCTACAAACCAACTCGACCTACGTACAAGCCTGTTTATATCGATCGACAAACGTGCTCAAAAATTGTTTTCTGGCTAGTCAAATATGAATAGCTACATCTTTATTTATTTCAGTCTTTGTTATTTATTTTCCATTTCTTTGCCGACCACGTTTTACCGTCGACTTAGCAGTCGAAGTAGACATATCACTGCATTGTGCCTCCATTTTAAGGTGTCCCGAAAATGGCTGCCACTGCATGGCTAAGCGCGCAAAGCATTACTGTGAGACTCATTCTTTAAGAATGAACTTTGGTGAAGTAGGTGATGGTGATTAGTTTTCACTTCGATAACATTAACAATGTCCATTTAAATTAGGCTCGGGGTGAGAAGGCCGTACGAGAGGAATTTCCCGACGCCATTATTCTACGACCGTCGGATGTTTACGGTCACGAAGACAAGTACTTCAACTATTATTCATGTACGTTATTGCATTTCAATTTTTTGTGTTTCATTCGTGATTTACATCGATCTAAAATGACCATAATAAAAAGGAAAACGCTTCGGTCGTGGTAAACGCGTCCGACTGACACATTGAACTAAATATATTATTGTTAGGCTAGCCCATCGTCGCAAATGAACTTTCTTTGAATCGTGATTGGGAGTAGTTTAATTGCTAGCTTCAAAGTTGGCGGGCAGTAGCGTTGCACTTACATTGAGCTCGATGGACCGTATGTAATTGTAACAGGGCGAGAAGTGGAGGGAAGAAAGTATTTGTTTTGTCGATATTTTACAGATATTCTTCCACAAAAATTTTTGGGGCAGTTTTTGAAAAGTTAAAAGTGCGGCTTGAAATTTGCTCGACTTCCTTTAACTTTCGTTTGGGGACTCGACAGATTTTTTACTGGCGATATTTTACTCTCGAAAACGCTTCGTAAAGTACGAATATACTTCATAGATTATTTTGCTATTCCTAAGACTGTTCACTGCAATTCACTGAAGCAAAGGCAATGTGTGACGTCACAGTTCATAGTTATCGAGATTTGAGACTTATTTGTTTACATTTTTAGATTTTCGCAATATTCCGTTTGGCGTTCCTTTAATCGATGGGGGTATGAACACGAGAAAAAGACCAGTTTTCGTAAGATAAACAAAAATTTTATTTCGTGACCCTAGCTTGAAAATCATGCTGAAATTACTCACCACAACGTGTGCTGTGATTTTGTATTCATTTGTGACAATAGTTTTTTAAGTAACACTAAACTCTTTGGTGACAATATAGTTTCCTTAGTAACACTAGACTCGTTGGTGGCATTACTTTCCTTATTAACATTAGACTCTTTGGTGACAATATAGTTTCCCTAGCAACACTAGACTCTTCTGGTGACCTTACTTTCCTTAGTAACACTTGACTCATTGGGGACATTAGTTTCCTTAGAGTAACACTAGACTCTTTGGTGAGAATAGTTTCCTTAGTAACACTACACTCTTTACAATCACATAAGAACCAGATAACAAATACGGCTAACCTGACGTTTACTCCTCATTTGACTCTGAAGATGACTACCGCTAAGGTTGTTGAAACGTCAATCAACAACAACAAAAACAGTCCTGCGCAGGACTATACTAACCTGGACGATCTACATTTACAAACATGTAACGATACAAACCATTTACTTTCGTTAACTCTTGTTACATTAGTTTCCTTAGTAACGCTAAATTCTTTGGTGTCATTAATCTCCATCGTGACTTTGGACTTTTTGATGACATTAGTGTCCTCAGTAACAGTAGACTCCTAGTTTCTACCAGCTTTCTATAATGTTCACTTAGTACTGAACTTTTTCTATAGGTTGTCGATGTTGCCAAAGCGATCATTAACTCCATGTACGTAGGAAAGCCAGGAAATACCTATGAATTATTTGGGTGAGATAAAGATTCCAACTACATATATATACATATGTAGTGATGTTGAAAGAAATCACGAAAACTACAGATTCATCCTGACAATCCCCTGAAGAGTGAGCAATCACGAAACAGGCTTGTCGGAATGAATCTGTAGTTTTCGTGATTTTTTCAACATCACTACATATATTTACGCTCTGCTCTTGGGCATCGAGCACTGTTTTATACGGAGAATCATCACATATAAACTTCTTATATATATATATATATATATCTTTTTAATCATTTCTGCATTGCACACAGATCTGTTTTTAAACTCTGTCATTGTTTTACAGCCCGAAAGAGTATTTTCTTTTCGATCTCTTGGATTACATCTATCGAATGAACCGACGAAAATTTAGACATTACAACCTTCCTCGACCACTGTACAAGTAAGAGTTATTATATAATAGCAGAAGTAAAACCCGTGTTCTGATTGGTCAATGCTCGTGTTGAGATCAGGCCATCCAGTCACGTCTTCATCAGGAGAGATCTGATGTTGAAACATAAAAACGTTTCGTTTACCAATGATCTGGGCCAGGTTGTACGAAACATATGTAGCAAAGTCTATTGGATAGGAATTAATTCAAAAATCTTTTTGAAAAGATACAGTTTACTTTGATGAATAAATAGTGCAACGTGTAGCTGCATCATGAACTTGGTAATGTCCCATTATCCTCCCCTGACTAACTTCATCACATGCAAATCTATACATCTATACATTGTTCTATCTATGCATTGTTTATTTCAAAGTTTGGTAGCTTGGGCAGCTGAGCAAAGTATTTTTGATCCACGTTTAACACGAGATATGCTGTTTAGGGTAAGTTCTTGCTTTATCCGAAATTACTGTATACAGTGGCGTAACCCGAACTTTTCGTAAATCATTTTTGCCGTGGGTTGGTAAAGGTAGAACATATTTTATACCTTCACCATTTGCTATTGAGTAATACCTGATGACAATATTGAGTACTAATCCATGATGACTTTATTGAGTACTACTCCATGATGACTTTATTGAGTACTACTCAATGATGACTTTATTGAGTACTACTCCATGATGACTTTATTGAGTACTACTCCATGATGACTTTATTGAGTACTACTCCATGATGACTTTATTGAGTACTACTCCATGATGACTTTATTGAGTACTACTACCTGATGACTTTATTGAGTACTACTCCATGATGACTTTATTGGGTACTACTCCATGATGACTTTATTGAGTACTACTCCATGATGACTTTATTGAGTACTACTCCATGATGACTTTATTGAGTACCACTCAATGATGACTTTATTGAGTACTACTTCATGATGACTTTATTGAGTACTACTACCAGATGACTTTATTGAGTACTACTTCATGATGACTTTATTGAGTACTACTCAATGATGACTTTATTGAGTACTACTCCATGATGACTTTATTGAGTACTACTCCATGATGACTTTATTGAGTACTACTCCATGATGACTTTATTGAGTACTACTCCATGATGACTTTATTGAGTACTACTACCTGATGACTTTATTGAGTACTACTCCATGATGACTTTATTGAGTACTACTCCATGATGACTTTATTGAGTACTACTCCATGATGACTTTATTGAGTACTACTCCATGATGACTTTATTGAGTACCACTCAATGATGACTTTATTGAGTACTACTTCATGATGACTTTATTGAGTACTACTACCAGATGACTTTATTGAGTACTACTTCATGATGACTTTATTGAGTACTACTACCTGATGACTTTATTGAGTACTACTCCATGATGACTTTATTGAGTACTACTCCATGATGACTTTATTGAGTACTACTACCTGATGACTTTATTGAGTACTACTCCATGATGACTTTATTGAGTACTACTCCATGATGACTTTATTGAGTACTACTCCATGATGACTTTATTGAGTACTACTACCTGATGACTTTATTGAGTACTACTCCATGATGACTTTATTGAGTACCACTCCATGATGACTTTATTGAGTACTACTCCATGATGACTTTATTGAGTACTACTCCATGATGACTTTATTGAGTACTACTACCAGATGACTTTATTGAGTACTACTTCATGATGACTTTATTGAGTACTACTCCATGATGACTTTATTGAGTACCACTCCATGATGACTTTATTGAGTACTACTCCATGATGACTTTATTGAGTACTACTCCATGATGACTTTATTGAGTACTACTACCTGATGGCTTTATTGTTCTCGTGGAATAGTTTCAAGTGTCATGCTTAATTTTGGTCTTGTGTTTGAGGTTGTAAATAAGTCGTTTGCATGTTGCCGATAATGTTTGTGGTCTGTTCAACGGATTTTGTTCTAAGTTGGTACACCAACTTTCTACTATAAGCATTTTTTTTATTCAGCGGCAAAGCTAGAACGTTAATTGGCGGGGGGTGAATATTCTTGAATTCAGCTCTTCCTGACTGATTTCTTTTGAAAGCGATTTTGATTTGAAAAAAAAATAAGTTGATCGCAGCTGATTATATGAATATTTACCCCCTCCCTCCCAATTGACTTTCTAACTTCGCCCCTGTCTCTAGTTAGTGCTGTAGATAGTGAATTTTGCCGAGTCTCAGTCAATGTTGAGTCTAGTCAGTCGGTGGTGTTTAGCAATGTTTTTTTTGTTTCTTTCTTTTTGGCTCGTTTGTGTTCAATAAGTCGTATGTTTAAGAAATCATTAATATCAAAATATATAAAGAAATCTTAACTCATTTTCTAATGCGTTTGACATTTGAAACAAACCTCACTGGCAAATACAAATGTCAATTTTTGATGGAAGCATCGGACGTAATTTTTGTAATTTATCAATTTAGTTGCAAGTTGAGCATGCACATTTATGCGAGTTTCGGCCACTGATTCATTCATTTCTTTAATATTATCCTAGCAATTCAACACTGACGTACCGACCGAGGGGCTTCCCCGACTCCAAGACCTTGGTATTGAGCCCACGGCTGTTGACAAAGCGGCCATAACCGTGCTTCGGCGTCATCGCGACCTATGGACGTTTGAGGAGGCGTTGGACGAAGAAGAAAAGTGCAAACCGACCACTGCGTATGTATAGCTATTGCAGTGGGATCCTTTGATTTTTTATTACGGGATGCAGAATGTATCGCCTGTTTTTTTACTGTGAGGATCTAGATTTTATTTCGGAAAAAAATTTTTTTACAGTAATTTATCGTAGTTGTCTAATCTATTTTATTTACAGATTAATTAGTGTATTTTGTTTCGTGATCTGAAGGGCAAGGTTAGCTTCAAAAATAACTAGGTGAATCGAGAATTCGATGCACCCTTTAGTTGCCATGAATAGACTTCGGTCCCATTTCAAGCGCGATCCGTAATTTTTACATCACATTTGCGCACGCGTAGGTCCAAGGCTTGATTGGCAAGATCAAACAACATCATGACATGACCAAGCAAATCTGTAAATGAATGATTACATAATTTTAAACAGGAAAGATAACTCGTGCACTTGTGCGAAGACAAATTTCAATATAACTTTTTGGCCAATTTGAATACCTCTTGTGGAAAAAATCCACTATTGCAGTTTATTTTATTTGATTCATTGACTCAATTGAAATTCCTTTTATTTTGCGTGCACCTTGTACCGATCCAGGTTAAAAATAGGAATATCTTAAGATTTCATTTAGTCTTACAGAATGGTCCTAATATTTTTAATTTGCATTCCATGTAAGATACTTACCACCTTAAATGAAGATATGATCTTCGCACTTTGCTGGACAATTTAAGCAATCGTCTCAGGACCTGAAAAAATCAGGTGACTCAACGGGATTCGAACCCATGACCTCTGCGGTGCCGGTGCAGTGCTCTGACCAACTGAGCTATGAAGTCACACAATGGTGAGCAGGTCAATATTGTTGGGCTCATGTTTTCTCGTGAAAGGAATGTCATGGGTTCGAATCCCGTTGAGTCACCTGATTTTTTCAGGTCCTGAGACAATTGCTTAAATTGTCCAGCAAAGTGCGAAGATCATATCTTCATTTAATTTCAAACACCGCACTGCAAAAACATTCATACTTACCACCTAGTGTACAGCTTACTTACACCTAAGCTTGATATTTATTTTGAACGACTTTGATAAACCTTTTGACGTAGAATGATAATCGTGAAAGAATTTGTGAAATGGATAAAAAATCCTGACGCTAAGCCTTGTTTAACATTGCTCATGTTTGGTTAACGACCACGTGAGAACTCTGACGTAAATTCCAGACAACACTTGCTGAATAACAATACAAAATTCTATAGTAATATCCTAGTACTACTGCAACCATAACCCATGCTATATTCTTGAGTGAGAAGAATGGAACAAGATGGATAGGATTGTCTTTTTAATAATTACTTGATAGCTAGCTCTTTTAAAAAAGAAAATCGTTCGTTGTTTTAAAACACCGTCAATTGCTTACTATGACGCTTCTAAAATGCAAATATACTCCACTAACGAGCGATGTTATCTTTGATATGGTCTTTCCTTTAAAAAAATGCATTTCTTACATTTTAAAAAGGCGAAAATGCAATGTTTAGCAGTAATCGAACATAAACAACGAGAATGATTCCCAAATTCTTATGCCCTCTTGTATAATTTGAAACACACCTGAACATTTTGTTGTATGAACAACTCACTAGTCCGTTTTTCAAAACTTCATAAAAAAAACGTGACAACAATTATTGATAATTTAACAGTTTCCTCTGCTTAAAGTTAGCTACTTATGCCACGAATATTTTTATTGTCCGAAATAAAACATATCCATAAACTACACGATGGATTTTATTCACAATAAATAATTATTGGATGAGATTGAGCATGAAATTAAGAACTATTCAGACGTAGGTCAATGTTATCTTTCGAAGCGAAGCTAAGTGTTGACCGAGGTCTGAATAATTCTTGATATCATGCGACAGCCGAGTTCAAGAATTGTTTTATTATTCACTTTAACTAACTGAAATATTTAAACATATCAATATAAAAGATTTTTCAAACCTTCGTTAATTTGTTTTTGTCCGGCGGTTTATTCAAGTTTGTCTTGTTTAAATGTGTTGTAAATATGTTGAAAGCCAGCCTCGCCGCTTTTTAAGTGTTTCCTCATCCTTTTTGTTTAAAAGCTTTTAAATCGTTTTTAGAATCTGTGGCAAACATCGTTGTTTAATTTTTTTTTCAAAACCGGCTTTTAATGGCGTTCATAGCTCATAGTAGAAACTATTATAATATCATCTTTATATATGACGTCTACGCACAGATATTGAGAATTATTTGCAGGTGGTCGACCAATCCAAAGCGACATTGCTTACGTGGTGAATAATAATGATGTTTAAATGCTTGTTTTTGGAACTATGGGCGTTTTTGTGTTTCGTCAATGGTTCACTTTGGTCAAGCGTTTCATAATTAATTCGTGCTTTGCATTTCAGGAACCGCGGAGCAGTGGGGGGCATATCGTACGTCATACACCCATACTTGTTGTAGGGGTCTATGTATATTTGAAGGCTTGTGAGCGCATACCTTACTTTTGTTTGAGCTGTTGCATAAATTATATTGCTTTGTAGAAGCTTACAATAACGTCTTTCATCTTTCAACTTTGTTCTGAATGATAAGGATCTTTTATCAAATTTTTGTCGTTATTGGTCTAAGTAACTTTATGACACATATACAAGGAAAATACACGAAAGATACACTACCAAGCCGCGATTATCCCAATTTGTGAATTGAAATTACCAAGTGCATTAATTTTGTGTGAAGCGGTATAATTTATGCGACAGCTCAATGTGACGTATGCTAAGGCAAATTTTTCTTCAATATTACATATAACCATACGAGAAGCATGTATCATTATGAATTAGCTTATTTGGAGCATTTATAGCTACTCTCCAGAATCAAATATGACCTTAAATTCTCTTATTTACATTCATAAAGGCATTGATGAATTAAGCTTCTTTCTCTGTATGTTAATGTTGAGAAAACAGTCCATTACAGCTTCGAGATGTTTAAGATATGTGAAAAATTTCGTATGATAGACGCGTCGAACAATCTAGAATAACACGATGACGTTATTACAACGATAAAGTGTGAATGTTGTCTTAAAATGCTTTTTACTTTTTGTTGGTAAAGTTTACATTGTTCAGACGAAAAAAGATTTATTGACAAATAAAGATGCCACCTGTTGCAAGCACTAACCATAATCGATAACACGTAATAACTGAATATGTGAAAAACTTAGGGTTAGTGTTTTTTATTTATTTTTCTTTTCCATTTAACAGTGAAAATGTAGCTAAGTTCCAAAGAAATTAGCGATAGCTTATGATTAAAATGATAGCTCAATAGATAAGATCATTTTTATGTTCACGTTTCCATGGAAATTTTTTATCTTAGCTAACTCAAAGTCAAGAACCTAAAAATATTGGTTTTTCGTGAACAATCGCACCGTCGCGCGGACGTTGCATTACTAAAAGTATCGAGTTGTATATTATTCACGAAAGTTTTCCATCTCTCTATCTCAAGCTTAAATATCCATATGCTCGTTAGTCTGGCGTGACAACATCTTAATTAAATGTGGTGGAGATAGATTCAGAGCCAGATTACATGTACGACACATCTTCGACTATATGGAAACCATAGTTACCAGACTTTGCTTCAATGCAGTCATTCAAGATGTCAGATATCTTTCACATGCAATCACTGATTTCATGACAAAACGACTTTGATCAGATGAGAAATAAAAAGGATGTCGACACTTACCAATTTATAAATAGAGGCGTATTTTTGCAAAGCTAAAAATACGTCAATGATATGCCGAATTCATTTTGTTTGTCGGTTTTCGGTCGTCTTGTCAATGTGTTTTTAATTTACACAGTTTGGCGCTCTAAAATTACGCGTAAAATACGAAAACAATAAAGAACGTTCCTGTATGTTTTCTGCGTAGTATTTTAAAATACATTTCAGTCGAATTTACTTTGAAGAAGAAGCTCACATATTCGAAGTAATGTTACTCATTAAGTATACATTGTCGAAAATATCACAAAATATCTAATCAGCAAGTTCAGCTAACTTTTTTGTTACAAAGTTGCTTGGCAACGTTGACGCAAACAATGAAACAAACACTCATTGTCACAGTCAATCATCGAAGAGAAAGTGTCACCAACGCGTGGAATGCTTCACAATGTCAATTACATGTGCCGTCAAACCTCAAACAACAGACAAGGTGTAGACAATACACGGCAAATGTACTTGTTTTGGGAGATGTCATAACCGTTCATTGCCTTTAAAAGGAACTTTTGGCGTAAAATTATCTTGATGTATATTTCAAGTTTTCATCTTACTGGTGTAAAACAATTGATGTAAAACAAATGAGGCTCCTGTTTGATAAAGACCATGTGTTTTTCTCTACAAGCACAGTATGAAAATTGTTTGGACCATGCTAAGCTTGCTGCTCTCTGCTGCTGGGGACTGACTTTTCATCCGGTGTGAGTAATCTCCTAAACGTCCTAATTGAAATTAGTGAATGTGTGACTCGTGACTTTTTCTTTTTAAATGAAATGAAAATCAGGGACCACGGAAGATCGATTCGAGGGAGGAAAGGGTACTTTTCATAAGTACATGTTCTACTTAATCAGTTTCTGTTGAAATCGATAGTGATAATGTATTATAACATATGATTATATGAACAAAATCTCCTCGAGTATTAGTGATTTCAACTCCCCGAAATTATATGTTTTACATCATTAAGATCATTAAAAACAAAATGAGTTGATGATTTGTAAGTTTATTTTTATAGAAGAACGTGCGAAGGAAAACTTTATAAAATAGTTCGCATGCGTTAATTCTACGGCTTGTGTCGATAAAACTGCAACCTTTATAATCTCCTGCAGCGTTTAGAATTTGCATATATCGGCAGTAAATGACCCCCAAGGAGTCATAAACGCCATTGAAATGAATTTCATGTTTGGAATTTGCAAAGTCCAATGGTTGTAATTCCGATGTATTATTTTATTCGTGTTTACTCCTCCGTATGATCAATCACTTCTAATTCACGTAAATTTTAAACGTCGGATTCAAAAGTTGTAGTTTTTTTTAATAGCTACAAAAAAGTTGGCATTTGGCAAAATATTTCTAAAGTTTCCTCTTATCGTTTTGTGTACAAAAAATTATGGGCTGACCATGCTACTGATTGAAATTAATCAAAACCAACTACGCTGACGCTTACATGCGCATTTTATTTGGAAAACTCTCAGCAGTCAGTACTCGCCTGGTCGCCGTTTTAATTCGCTCAATTCAGTTTTACTAATTAAGCAACTTGAGACGCAGGGAGCACGCTATCTCGGTGCGGGTGCTGGGCAGTATCGTTAAACCACTGTTTCAGTTCTGCCTTTTCAGCCTGACTCACACGACTGAAATATGCATAATTGAAGACAATTAACAAAGCATGTGACATAAGCGTTGACAATAAATGTGACAAGGGAAATAGCACAAATTGTTGAGCACAAGCTTAAAGAAGAACAAAAGAGATTAAAATAAAAATCACGATCTCTTTGTCTATGTAAACCTCTAGACAAAAAGAAACAAAAAATCTTGTCGTTCATGCATCTATGGTACACGTTGTAAAGCAGGCTGTATGCTTTATTTTGAGTGGGGAGAAAATTCTTTATAGTTGACTGTGGTTTCCTCTATCTCCATGAATCAAGCTGGCACTGCTGTTAAACTAATTAAATGTATTACGAGTAATCTGTTTGTTATGTGCACCTATTCGTAACGCCTGTTTTAAGTATTTTTAACTTTAGAAACGCGCTTTGACTGTCACCACGTACGCTAAATGGCGTGTAATTTTTCCGCCCTCGCAGCATCCTCTATGTGTCATGTTCGCATGGACCATGTGACATGGGTGTGCGTTGCTACTTTTCACACTAAATCACTCAGTCTTCCTCTCATTGTACGCGTGTTATTTTATACAGTGCATTCTGGGTTCACAAAATATTTCTTTCCGGTATTGCTGAACATTGTTAACACGTGTCGATGAAAATGATAAATCGACACGATGTAATTTACATTTCTCGAACATCACTTCTGGCGGATTCCACGAGGTTCCCCAAATTCTTTGTTGTAGTTTAAAAAATAGTGTAAAGTACTGCTAGTGGCGTATAGAGTGTTTTCATCATTCGCCATGTTGGGGGGAAATCGCATAGAATGAAGAGAATTTATGTTGATTTCATGGTCTGTTGAGCATCGGCACTGTGTTGTACTCCCCTAACATGGCCGTTTTGACGTCAAATGCAAACACTCCATACAACTCGTAAGTTTATTCGTGCGCTTATTAAATACTTAAATGTTCACTCATTGTAAATACAATAGATTTCTAGAGAAAGAATAATTACTGAGCTGAAATTATAGCAAGACCTATTTCCAGGCTGGCCACGATATTGGCTATGCACGTTTTAGCTTTTGCAGCTGAATTAAAACTCTGTAAAACAATTACTTTTGGCCAAATCTAGACCCAAAACTATATTATCAAAAAGAAAACTTGGTTCTTCTATAGACTTAATGCTAGGGTGGAAATATTTTCTGTTATATTCCACGTGTTCGAATCACAGATGTATCTGGTTCGAATGGAGAGCTCTCAAAGTTGAAGGGTGACGTTACTGAGTTTTCTTTTTGAATATACAAAACAAGTCTCATCTCTTGAGATCGTAAAGATAAACATTTTGGACAGTTATCTAGTATCTGTCTGAATGGTAAAGACTTCCGAGTAAGTCCATACTCCTCACACAAAATTTCTTCTTATCTCTAAAGAGGGGAATGTATAAAAGGCGGATGACGGTAATGCTTCTAATGAATGACTGTGAACGACGGAGAATGGTATAGGTCAGTCGCATGGATGTAGGTATGTCGGAAAATTATTGAAAGAGAAAGGTCGAATCTCATATGCCAAATTAGAAATCTTCGTATTTACCTGCCAAATAATGTTAAGGTTTGAATAAAATGTTGAAAGCATCTAAATTTTCAAGCTTCGGTGACAAAAGTAAATTATGTTAATTATGATTATTATTTAAAATAAATTGTGCAATAAGTATCAGAGATGCGACTATTATTAAAATTTTGCTGTCTGCTCTTATAGGGCATTGTTTTTCTAGCTATAATTACAACGTTCATGTTCTTCACACGAAATAAATTCACACAGAATGGAGCAAGAAACTCCTAACTGAACTAATTTGCTCGAAGCTAAATTCTTTTCATGGACACGAGAGTCAACAGACGCGCGTGCTGTTAGTCATAAACACGATTTTTCCTGTATGTAAAGACCTATAAAAATAATTCTTACAATTATCTTTGCTTTTGTGCTTACTAGCCTAATAAATCTGTAATAAGACTGTAATATTTTGTGCTTACTAGCCTAACAAAGACTGTATTCGGTCATTTGTAACTAGGCTTCGTTACTCGCAGTAAGATAAAAATCACGATAATTGGATTAGAAAATGATGAAATTCCGCAAAAATCGCCTGGCTGAGAAAATTTTATTTTTCCTTTTATAATGTGAACAAGTTTAGATGACGTTTACACCTTGATTTTTTAGCGATTTGTTTTGTGCTATTGTTCAGGTTCGGTACATTGTCGAAACAGAAATTTCATGCATGGAAGTGAAAAGGTGAAGAATTCAAAGTGGAAGCAGAATTAATCTCTTTTGTGGAATTCAAGTAATTTTGTTCTAATCACCAATATATGTCGACTTGTCATAAACGTATGATATTTCTTTAATTTTTTCTCGTTTCGTCGCCGAAATTGTACTCTGAAATGTGTTTTATTATATTCTCAAAAAAGGACGTATCTTGAATGAATTACAACGATTTGAGAGTCATTCGCGTTCTTGAATCAGGATCGTATTGTCGTATTATGAACGAAGAGTTTGGTTTGTAAAATGGGATATTCACTGGTATCTTTGATAAATTTCGTATATAATATGACATTTTAATTCAGAAGTACGCGTCCAAAGACATCGCTTTTTTGTAGAATACAGAATTGTAGCATTATTTTAAATCCGTATTTGGTATCTTGCTTTGAATTGGCAGACGAATACAAGTTGAGTTTAAAACTAGAACTACCGAGTTTTCGTATACCTTGAAGACATTCATAATGGCCGAACATTCGGCAAGTCGTGTGAATAGGCCAGTAGTTTTTAATCATAATCTCATGCTACGAGAAATTCGCGATAACTTGAAGCATCTTCGAAGGGAACCTGAGAATATCAATGAAGTACAACCGCATCATGTCGGTAATCAGGCAGTTTATCGCTCAAACAACCTAAACCCATCTCCACAGAACCAACGTATGAATGGACGATACTCGGCTCAAAGAAATAATCTGGTTGATCAAAACAGGGGACGACACGAACATGCGAACTTACAACCTAACTACGACGAATCTGGCTATTCAAGCTCAAGTTCTGAGTGCTCTATGCAAGGCGCAAATGATTTGAATGGCCTGCATTATGTGCCGGAGAACGTAGAGGTATATATTTATCAAAATTTTCATCTCCACGTTCACAAAATAACATAAATTTCCAAGCCTACGCGCGTGGCGTGTTTAATACTTTAAAATAATACAGCGGTATGGGGAAACAATTTCGGCTATTCACAATTTCGTTGCCATTGAGATGCAAATTTCGTTTGTCTCTTTAAAAATTGAAAAATTGCATTACTTAAAACTTTTCCGTGTTTGAAACGTGTACACTTAATTGAAACGTCTAGTTTGTCTTTTCTATGCCAGGGAAGTGTTCATGCACGTTTTGTTACCTGTGGTTTTCCACAACTATGAAAACACTGCTATACACAATGACAAAGCTGACTCCCGTGCTTATCTCGAATGCACATCGAAATTCGTGAAAATTTCCGTCCATTTTTAGTTGAAACAAAGCAGACCTTCACATTTCTCGTTGTACAAACCAACTGAATTGTCGCAATTAACCTACTTTTTTTCGAACGTCAATTGCGACTCGCTTGTGAGGCTTGTTTTGAACGATTATTAATAATTCTCGAACGTTTTTACCCTTGGTGATGCCTTTAGCTTTATTATGACAATTTTCGACTCACATATACAAATCATGATGAAAATCGAGACGGAATAGATATCAACAATAACATTTGAGTGTTCGTCAGACATGCTTGGCACATCTAAAAATATATTTTCGATGAAAAACAGACCAAATATTCTCGTTTTATTTTACTTCCACCTAATCGTTGCCGAATGTTTTCCGGCCTTGACATCGGACAATTTTCTATTGGAAAGGAAATAGGATTCGAAACTGGAAAAGGAATTTTAACAGCCGTGAGAACGGTCATCCTTTTGACACCTTTTTGTAAATCTTTTCATTAGATTAACATTTGAGATGAAATGTTACAAACAGTGACCGAGATCCGACGGAGAACAAATCCCTTGCAAAGTTTCTAAAATCAGAGCATTCGCATGATTTAATGTAGCATAATCAGCATTCCTACTCGCGTTTGTTTGTCTAACTATTTTGATGTTTATGCTTCAAAGTCCATACGGGATTAATATGCCATTTTTCATGTTCGTTTCGTGATTGAGATAACTTTTCTAGCCAGATAGAATGGTGTCCCCTAAATGTCAAGCTAGTTGCAATTTATGTTTCCTCAGTTCATCTCTCTCGAAATCTGTCTGTACAATGTTTCCCCTGAAAGTGTTTGGTTACAACTGTGAAGCAAAAATCGTAAACTGAGTGTACTTGATGGACTTTTGACCATGTATGGTAGACTAACTAGAGTGTTGAATTTATCTCATATTTTTAATGCCTTGCTACGTTGACGATTATAATTTACCTTCCATTGTAATTATGTCTTTCTGAGAATGCCTGTGTTGGATGTTGAAAATTTTGCTATAGCTGCTTGATCTCTTAGTACGACCACCATAACTTTACTTAAACAAAATATGTACTTCTTTGTACTCTTTGTGCTGAGAATGGTACATAAGGAGTACACTGAGGCTGGGCTCTTCACTAGGTATTCTGTCGAAATTACAATCCTAAAGTTGTTGGGTGTAATTACTGTCCAAAATCGAAATTCCTAGTGGAATTACATTGCATGGCATTCCCTAGCGAAAAAAATGCGGCTTAAAATAGGCCAAAAGTCAATAGGCCAAAACAACAATGTAGGCACTTTTCATGGTTTCAATAAACGGCTTGAAGTTTTTTTCGAGTGTGGTATTTAAATTACGAAATACGTCTTTCGACACTTGCCAGAAACTGTATCTGCTGTGTTCAACAATTGCAAAATGAACATATTTTCTTCCATTACTTATGCTTTGTTTTTACCTCAGCGTGTGCAAGAAGGTAGTTTTGACATCATTTCCGACTCGACAGTAGAGAAAAGGCGATTTGTGTTTTTAAATTTGGTAATTTTTTTCAAGTTCCATGTTTATTCGGATGTGAATTCCTATGTCTATAGATAATGAGATAATTGCTTTGATTAAAAAGTTTTGACATCGTTAACGGATCGTGTTACCAATTAAGAAACTTTTGGCTTCATGGAGTCCAAATACCTCGGGAGATTATGATTGTTTCAATCGAGAAAACCAAGCCCTCTGCATGAAACAACTCCGCAGGAAGCATTTGAACGAGCAAAAATGAACTAGATCGATGAAAATTACAGTGTTTATACATTGTATCGTTGTTATCTAAATGGCGTGTATTACATGTTGTTGATTAAATTTTGTTAACTAATTCTTGTATAGTTTGTTGACGATAACATTATTAGTTCCACACACAGGCAATCTGAAGGTTGTTTTTTTTTAAAGCATTCCACTACTAGTAGCTATATTCATGCACTGTATGGTGAACATGATTGTCAATGGCCTTTAGACTTTTAATCATTTTTAATAGAAAAGAACACCCTTCCCTGTTGCACTTTTGTCAATACACTATGATGTTATAAGTTGTCATTTTTAGCCAACCGCCACACTCAACTCCTTGTACAAGTCCTTGTGCGTACTCACACATTTCGCCATAGTATTTACAATGTCGTTATAATGGTGCTTTTTTTACCCTAAAGGATTTTGTTCTCCATAGGGAATGTTTTCCAAGCGGAAAGTGTGGAAATCTGGGTCGCAGCTGTAGATAAGGGGGGGGGGGAGTGATTATTCATGTATTCATTTGTGCCAGACTTATTCCTTTTTAGCGTGATTTGCCTTTCCAAAGAAATCAGTCGGGCACAACTGCGTATATTTTTTTGGCACATCCACCCACACCATTAACAATGTCGCTTGTAAAAATTCGCCAAAACACGAACTAATATAACAAACAAATTATGAACTTAAATACGCATTTTTTCAATGGAAAACAGGAAATTTTTAGATTACGCTTTTGGCAACAAAAATTTTATTCATTTTTTATCGCCTAATCACCTCAACGCTGCGCACGTATCTTTACATTAAAAATGGCAAATTCTCAATCTATCACTTATAAGAATGTCATAAGCTTTCCTTCGTTAACGTTTATTGTCTTTTCATAGGGCCAGAATATACTTTCGCCATCGAATTTCGATTTCGCGAGGGCAATGGCGAACAATAACGGTTTTCAGCGAATCAACCCCAACGCAAGTCGGAATCGACCAAGGCCAAACCTGATAGCACCTATTCCGTATACGGGAAAATCCCCTCCACCCTACAGCCTTGCTTCCCAAAAAGTTAACCGAGCTTATCCAGAAAACCAATCTGTAGCCACACACCGAACTAGTAAGACAGAGACCTCAAAGTACATGCAAACAACGGCGTTACCAAGTGGCAACAAAATGATTTCGCAAGCCGAATGGAAAGTGACATCAATGTCAAACATGCCGGGTAAGGGTAGTTCCCCGCAACGTCAACCGATGTCTGTTGTACCTGAAGGCGCAGCGATGTGGACGTCCACTCCTTTCTCTTTAACTCAGAAAGTCAACCCCATCAGTCATGGTCATCAAAGTTTTCATCATGGTGGTTACCCCAATCAGACAACCTCCCCACAGTTCCAGGTTCAGGTCAGTCTTAATCCTGTAAATGGGACGCATGTGCCTCGCACAACTTTCCCGCAAATGGTGTCAAATACTCCTGGACAGGCAACAACGTTCCAAGTTTCGGTGCAAACGAGTCCTGCAACCGTTGCTACCGAACCAGACCCTGGCAGCATGTACTCTGGCATACAGCAAAGCTATGGTAAAACTGATATGCAAATGAGCTCACTTGATTCAAATTATAATATGTTACATCAACAAAGTAGATATATTCCACGCGAGGAATATGAGCCACCGCCCTACTACCGAAAGAAATTTACTCAGCCCCCAGAAAGCTACCCTTCGACATCACAGGTTTGCCACGATCAAAGTAATAAGTCGAACGCATTAAACCAGTGGACTTGTTTAAATGCTCCTCAGTCCGATAACGTTTCAATGAGCTCCGACGACAGCCGAGCGTCGACGATCGAGGATGCTGACTTTTCTGGTTTTGATTTGGCGTGTTTGACTTCGTTTGATGGTATGGACGACGATAGCCCTTCTGTCTGCACTAACGACACTGGCACACTCGTCGTGCATGTACGAAAGCGACCGGAAAACGATGTTTCCATGTCGAATGGCTCCGTGAACGGCGAGGAACGAAGTCAGCGGCCCCACGTATCACCTCAAACCTACAAATTCTACATGGAACAGCGTATCGAGAATGTCCTTAAGGATCGGAAGGAGAGGGAACAACGACGCGAGCAGCTCGAACTTGAAATGCAACGGGTGCAGCTATCTGAAGATGCGCAGTCGGAAATGAGGAAGATTCTTAGCCAAAAAGAATCCAATTACATCCGGTTAAAGCGCAGCAAAATGGACCCATCTATGTTTCATAAGATCAAGAAGATCGGCGTTGGAGCGTTTGGTGAGGTAGTTCTGACAAAGCATAATCAAACGCTTTACGCGATGAAGATTCTAAAGAAAGCGGAAGTGTTGAAGAGGAACCAAGTGGCACACGTGAAAGCGGAACGTGATATCTTGGCGGAAGCGGACAATGAGTGGGTTGTTAAACTTTTTTATTCTTTTCAAGATAAGGAAAATCTTTATTTTGTGATGGAATACGTACCGGGAGGCGATCTTATGAGTTTGCTTATCAAAAAATCCATCTTTCCAGAGGATATGGCACGCTTTTATATTGCGGAACTTGTGCTTGCTATCGAGTCCGTGCACCGTATGGGTTTCATTCACCGGGATATAAAACCAGATAACGTACTTATTGACAGTGACGGCCACATCAAGTTGACGGATTTCGGTCTTTGTACTGGCTTTCGATGGACCCACGATTCAAAATACTACCAATGTGTTACTCTACCTCATGGTCATAACAGAGAGCCAAGCTTTGATATTGATAATAATTGGGCTAAAGAGCACAAGTGCCGATGTGGACATGTACTGGACGGGCAAACGCCTCTTTCCCGTCGCCACGCACGTCAGCATTTGCGTTGTCAGGCCCACTCACTTGTTGGCACACCTAACTACATTGCACCAGAAGTTTTGATGAGAATACCATACACCCATCTCTGTGATTGGTGGTCGGTAGGCGTTATTCTTTACGAGATGTTAGTCGGGCGACCTCCGTTTTATGCTTCCAATGCAGCTGACACACAAATGAGGGTGCGTTAATGCCTTTTTTAATTATTGCTGTGTTTCCACCTGTAGAAAATTTTGTTGGTCATGTTATTCTTTGTATTTCTATGGATAGCACGTTTTCAAATGGTAGGACAAACTTACTGTTAAATTCTGCTTAGAGCAGATGAATAATTTTGTTTATTTGAATATTAAATTATTATGTACAGGATCACCCCCACCCACCCCACTCCCGTATGACAATGTAACAATGTATAAGATAGAAAAGCCCGACCGACTTTTCGTTTTTTATGAGTTTTTGAAACGATTTGTACATATTTCACTAAAGCTGAGAAATTGCACCCCCTTCCCCCACCCGACGTTCAAACGTCTTTAATGTGCGCTCATAAAATCCAAAGATTTCCATTTATATTTTGAAAAGCACCTCTTGCCTCCATGGGAATTGCGTAGTTTATGATATATTTTGTTTATGCAGGTCATCAACTGGGAAAACACATTACACATTCCATTAAAACTATCTTCCGAAGCCGAGAACCTTATCTTACGCCTTTGCACTAGCGCCAATAAGCGAATTGGTGCAGGTGGCACTGATGACATTAAGAACCATCCTTTTTTCCACGGCATTGATTGGGTAATGATTCGTCGAACGAAGGCCTGTTATGTCCCGAATATAAAACATCCCGAGGACACGTCGAATTTCGATCCGGTCGAGCCGGAACGACAACCAGGTAGCGATTGTGAAAGCATGACGGATGTTTCCGACAGTGGGAGTTGCAGATCCCATCCACCGCACGCCTTTTACGAGTTTACATACAGGCGATTTTTCACGCAGGACCAAGCTCGCTCCTCGGTGTCAAACTACAGCTCCTGGGACGGGACCGAAAGCGAGGACGGAAAAGCACCCGTGTACGTCTAAATCTGTTTTTGCGTCATATAACCTGAACTATAGAGAATTTTTATGTTCTTTTTTGTTGCTGTGCGTACAGGAACATCATTGGATTTCGGTAAATGGTGATAAGAAGGCAGAAACGTGGAAAAACATTCGACGATATACTTTATTCTTGCTTAGTCAAATTCTACTCTCGCGAATGCTGTAGGTATGGTTTTTATAGGAAGTCTGGTACCGAATCAATGCACCTGCGAACATTGTCGGCTGTTCCTTTTTTTAATAATAACCATTTTAAAAAGGTGGAGTTCGTGGATTCAGTACTGTGCAGTTAGTGTATGAGTGTATGATGATATTTGTCTACGTTATTGCTCCTGGCTAGTTATCTTCGATATTACTTGGATGGTTAGCCATTGTTAAACAGAAACAGAAAATCATGTGAACAAATCACGTGACTGGCAATTGAACTATAGAACATTATATTACTTATGTGAATGATGCTTGTGGATCACATAGATTTATGATGGACCGGTGAAGGTGTTTTCTGTACATCGTGGATTTTTTGTCGATGCATGGATATCGATTGTTAAAGGTGCAAGTTATTTGTAAACTCTGATTAGAAGGTGTTCTTGTGTGCTTTTACTTATGGATAGTACGGGTTATCGATGAACATCTTTGTTTGGATGCATGGAGCTCTGTTTATGCGCAGATCTATGCATACACTTCTCTATTTACATATAAAAGATATTAAGATTTTATGGAATATAAATAAACTTGATTCGTGAGGCAAACATAGTACTTATATACAGAAGGCATGTTGGATGGTACAATAGTCTACATGAAGTACTCCCCCCACCCCATAAAAATCCGTGAATATACAATTTTCATTCTTTAGGTGTAATCAAGAACTAAAGTATTTGTGGGATATTGATTTTTCATGGACCACACTATAATAGTGTATAAGTTTTTTTATTATGTAGAGCAATTGTATGATTTATTAATTTGTAAGTAAATGTCATAACTACGAATCGTGAAATGTTAGCTGGTCCCAAAAAACCTAAGTCGACTATCCTGCTCTGCTCGTAATCTTCAGAATTCGATATCTTTATAAGCAAATTGCTGGTTCTCCCCCTCTGTAATAAGCAAAGAAGTAAAACATCCCAGCGTTGCTCGAAGGAACAACCTTTGTGAGCAATATCTCCCACATCCTTGTAAATTTTTTCTCTTCAACCGATAGCAACTCATACGAGTTTGCATGAAAAACCACTTATTATGGTCATTTCAAGCCTACGTAAATACCAGTTACATCTTTACCCGTTGTTAGTGCTGTGCAAACTCCAGGGGTTTCACCTCCTGCTCTCGCCCGCGAAAATTTTTAATGTTGTGTTTGCTCGCGATTAAGTTGGGAACGTCTGCAATATGCAGACAAAAAGACTTTAAATGCAAAAAAGATTATGTAGGACTGATATGGTAACCCTATCACAGGTTTCCGTAATAGCTAAAATGCTAGAGAGGACAAAAATGCTCGCTTTGTTCATATGCTTCGTAATCTTATAATATGTTTATTGTAGTCCTACCTTGATGATAAGACTTTATAAACCGATAGGACTCACGTTACACGAACGTTGCGCGAGATTGACGAACGGGATTGATCGATGAATGCAAGACATAATAAATGTAGTTGTAGGCCGCCCATGCTTTGATGTAGCCTATTATACTAACGTAACCGTTTTGACGTCACATGAAAACAAAAAACATGTCGAAACATGTCTATTTTCAAAAAAGTTGTCGTGTATATTAAATGTGTATTGGCAATAGTGCTTTTACGAAATTATTCCATGAAGAAGTCAACTGAAAAAAAATTAGGGAGAAAAACTATGACCCTGTAAATATTCTTAATTTAATGCCTGTACACTGCTCAAAGTGAGCTGGGGCCGGTTGTATAAAAACGTGGTTAACTTTAACTATAGTTAACGCTAACTACCGTAGTTAACTCCATAGCTGTAGTTACTTAACTGCTCGACTTAACTGTGTTGCACAAAACGTAGTTAGTCGGATAGTTAAGAAACTGCGTTGTTAACTTGCGTGGAAATTGCGTGGAGTGTTGTGTACTTTAAATGACATAAAGTTTAGGGGCCGATTACATGGACCTAGTTGTCCTGGCAAGGTGAGTTGTCTCGGGTATCCGGGTTAGCTTTTTTCAAGCGATTACATGGACCGAGTTGTCCTGGCAGATTTAGTTGTCGAGGGTACTCGGGTTCCTGGCTCCGAGAACGATTTCGAATTTTTTGCGGGAAAATATGGCGAACATTTTATAAATAACGAAATTTTGGCATCACTCCATTCTTGTTTCCTGTCTACTTTTTCAATTTTATTGTTTCACTTACTTATGGGCTGCATACAGGCAATACGTTCACAAAGTCTTTTATAGTTACAATGCCACAAAAAAATCAGTAGCTGAGAAAAAAGCACGATACATAAGAGCTAGGAAATTTAGTCGGAAAAAGCGAGCTATATGGACCAAAAAAGGAAGAACTGACTTATGGTGGAAGAATATGTTTGATGGAGTTACCCCAGATGATGAGTGGAAGCGAAACTTTAAAATGTCGAAAGAGAGATTTTTAATTGTGCGAGGAGTTGCGACCTTACATTTCTGCAGGAATAAACATTCCAAAATATAGGTCACTCTCTCGTGAAAAAAAAACTCGCTATCACTTTATATTGCTTAAAAGACACTGGTTCTATTTGGATGACAGCGAATGCCTTTGGTGTTCATCAATGTACAGTTTCTAAAATCGTTTTAGCAGTTTGCAATGCAATTTGTATACATCTTTGCCCAATATATATACACCTTCCACAAACGGTAGTGGAAATGCGGAAAAAAGTGGCTGAGTTTGAAAAAGGTTTGGCATGACTCAGGCATTTGGCTGCATTGATGGTACTCACATTCCCATTCAAAGATCTCTGGTTGATTCTCAAGATTACTTAAATTATAAACAGTTTTTCTCCATTCATGTTCAAGCTGTTTGTGATTCTAATGGCTAATTCATGGATGCTGACTGCAGGTGGCCTGGCAGCGTCCATGATGCAAAAGTATTTTCAAACTCATTCATGAATAATGAACTAAATTTGGGAAGATTACCACTTTTTCTTCAAATACATGTTTATTTCATAAACAAAGAACACTTGTTCTACTCTAACAAGAACAATGTAACATAAAGAAGTATTCAGTAAGAATTCAACATAAAAAATAAAACAAGTATGACGTTTTTAACAAATAAAATGTTAAAAGTCAATATTGATGTTGTGGTTGCAAGGGTTCTCCATTGCTTTCTACATGGGGAATATAAAAAGACTGGCCAGACATATCTGGTGTAAATATGTAATTAGAGGTGTTAATACCTTGGTGAAACTGCGGCATAAGATTTGTGGACTGCATTCGATCTGATGGTGGCACACAGTTTTTCCTTGTTTATTTCATTATTGTTTTCGTGTCAGCTACCAAGCTTATTGGTCCGCCGTGATATGCATTGTTTTCATTTTCTTTTTCTCTCATTTGCTTTATACACACAAAATTAGAATGGCGAGTTTCTTATTTGAAAAATGTTCTGGATTTTTATGTATTTACATCAATAAAATATCTCGTTAAGAACTGTTTTTGCGAAGATCTTTTACTTTTTATGACACTGAGCTGTACGTATATTTGCAGTATGTGTATTTTTATGGCATGAAAAATGCTTCTAAAAAAAACACATTTTTCTCCTTGGCAAATTTCTCAATTTTTACGAAACCTTATAGGCTTGTGTATTTAACATGGAATTACAATATTTAGGTGGTTTGAACGTTCGGATATGCCTGGAACTTTCAAAAACTCAGAAAAAGCAACAAAAGTCGCGCGGACTTTTCGTAATTTTTGTCTTTCTTCAAAATTTCTCAGCAATGCTAAGACTTTTGTCCGATTTTTTCTGACAGTCTATAATTTTGACTAATATTCTTTAAATTGGATGGTATTTTGAAAAACTACCGCAAAGTTTAATTTTGAAATTTTACAACTAGAAAAATGCTATTTTTTGAATTTTTTACCAAAGGACTAACGCGACCTGCAAAAATTAAAAAATCTGGCTTCATTTCACCCCCCTGACTTATCGTTCCAGATGTATTTCAGTTCAATAGCTAAAACAAAATTTTGACGAAGCGACAACAACAAACTTCGTCGTGCTATTCTCTTACACAGTTAAACTACGTACTCGTTGTCGTAGTCGTACTCACTGACCTGTATACTAATTAACTGGACGGAAATCCACATCCAAATTATTAAATTTTATGAACGCGCGGCCGGGTATCAAAAACATGGTGCTGTCATACCAAATATGGCAAATTTTTGGAGAAAACGTCATCAGAATGAAAAATAGAAAATTTTCAGCCCACCCGTATTTTCACCTAACACTTGTACAATGGATACATAATATAGTAGAAAATTTTATATTTTAAGGCTCTATACGAGAAAATGGCTTTTTTAAAAAAAATTCATCGGAAAAACATGCTGCAAATTTATTTGGTACACAAATGATAAGGTAGTAAAAAAAGAAAACGTTACATGACACTGGTAAGGAAAAAGATATTGTTTATTTTCTATATTATTCTTTATTATTAGTATTTCGTCTTAGTTTCTTGGCATTATAATACTTCTAGGGTGTTTGGCATGTATTTTGTAATTGTTTTTCTTCCTTTTTATGCAATATTTGTCTAGTCTGTTTTATTCTTTGCTAAAAAACAAAAAAAGCATGAAATGACTAAGCATGAAATCTCTTCAAAATGTGGATATCTTTCATCAAGTAAAACAGACAAAATTTACCTAAGTCTTAAAACAAATTGAGTTCATCTGAAAAGTAGTGTAACATTTCTCAATATTTTTTAGCAAAATATGAAAAAAAGCTATAGAATAGAGTGCAGTGCCAACGATGTACAGTACCACAAAAATAGCTCAATCTCATTGCTTGTGTTGCACATTGGCAGGTAAGAAACAATTAAGATAGTGGGATCAAAAGGTTTTTTGGTGCTACTATTTTTTATAAATTCCTCTTTGTGTTTCTGTCAATGAAGTATGCAGTGTAATAGTAAACAGATTAATAGGTCAAAACCAATATAAAAGAACTGCTTAGTACAATAATGAGATAAGATTCTCTTTTACAGTGAAAGTTTTGCTCAAGATAAGCTTATGACTATGAGCACGTAAAGTTTGATTTACTATTGTCTCATTTTACAAAAATCCATAATTGTTATGATTCCAGGTGATCCAGGATTCATAATATCTTATTTGCACTGAAGAAGTAGGAAGAAGAAGCACAAAAGGATGTAGAAGAACAAGAACAATTTTAAAGGGGAAGGGGGCTTGTTGAAATTCTGGGTTAATTTTTGGCAGTGGTAACATGTATGAAAGAGACCCCATTATTGTTTATATATATCAGGTAGGCCTTTGTTAAAATTTTGTAATACACCTCTGAGAAGAAATTCTGTATGTCGAATAAAGATGAAGTGGAAATAAATAAAATAAATGATTAAAACAAATTTAAACATTAAAATCAAAAACAGTAAAATTAGAAATTGAAATAAAAAACAGTCAGTTGCAAATAGTCAAGTTGAAGCTGGGAAAGCAGGTGGTTCTGCAAAGATTTTTAGTCTCTTTGCACAAGTTTTAGCTATTTTTTTCAAACTTGATTCTTAACACATAACACAATGCCAAAATACTGCAGGAATTACACAATCCTTACACATTTTACTATATATTTCCATTAGCACACTGCTATTTGATTTTTTTATTCCAATTCACCAAAAAAACAGCATTATGTTAGAGAAACTAATGCACTTTAAATTCATAAATTGTAATTTTATAAAAGAAATGTAGTTCTCAGCAGACGCTTAAAGGTAATACTGAATAGTTTTGTAGCAGCTCACTAAGCTTTAACTAGCAGTTGCCATACCAAGATTTTTTTGCACATTTTCCCTAAGATTCGATAACGATAATGGT